AGACTTGGAATGGTGACTGTTTTTTCAAATCCCAACACAAAGTAACAAAACACACGAAAGAACCGGGAGCATGGACCAACGAATGGAACAAACGAAATCAAACCAATCCTAAAGACACAGATGTATATGAATTACTTGAGAAATAATTCAAAATAAATGTCATAAAGATGCTCGGTGAGCTCAGACAAAAGATACATGAACAAAATGAGAGTATCAACAAAGGGACAGAAAATAGTATAAAGAATCAAACCAATATTGGAGCTAAAGAATACAGTAACTGAATTTAAAAGCCCACTTAGCGGTGTTCAATAGCAAATTTGAGGAAGCAGAAGGAGGAATGAGAAAAATCAGAGGTCATTTGAAGTGGTCCATTTAGAGGAGCAAAAGGACAAAAATGGAGAGGAGGCCAGGACCAGTGGCTCATGCCTGTAATCCCAGCACTTTGGGAGGCTGAAGCAGGAGGATCACGAGTTCGGGAGTTCAAGACCAGCCTGGCCAACATGGTGAAACCAAAATTAGCTGGGCATGGTGGCATGTGCCTGTAATCCTAGGTACTCAGGAGCCTAAAGCAGGCAAATTGCTTGAATCTGGGAGGCAGAGGTTGCAGCGAGCTGAGATCATGCCACTGCACTCCAGCCTGGGTGACAGAGTAAGATTCTATCTCAAAAAAAAAAAAAATGAGGAGTAAAGAAAGTCTAAGGGTCCAATGGAACACCATCAAGCAGATCAATAGATGCATTATGAGAATCACAGAAGGAGGAAGTAGAAAGGGAGGAAAGTATATTGGAAGAAATAATGGTCAAGATTCTGGGGAAAGAAAGAAACATTCAAATTCAAGAAGCCCAGTGGATCCAAATTAGGAGAACTCAAAAGACCACACTGAGCACATTAGAATCAAATTGTCAAAAGTTAAAGAGAAAAAGAGAACTTTGAAAGCAGCAGGAGAAAAGCAACTCATACAAGGGCATTTCAACAAGACTATCAGAAGATTTCTCAGAATGACCTTTCAGGCCAGAAGGATCTAGGGTAATATATTCAAAGCGCTGAAAGGAAATTACCAAGTAAGAATACCATATCTAGAAAAACCGTCTTTTGGCTGGGCACAGTGGCTCATGCCTGTAATCCCAGCACTTTGGGAGGCCAAGGTGGGCAGATCACAAGGTCAGGAGTTCAAGACCAGCGTGGCCAGCATGACAAAACCCCATCTCTACTAAAAATACAAATATTAGCCAGACATGGTGGCACATGCCTATAATCCCAGCTACTTAGAAGGCTGAGGCAGGAGAATCGCTTGAACCTGGGAGGCAGAGGTTACAGTGAGTGGCGATCATGCCATTGCACTCCAGCCTGGGTGACAGAGTAAAACTCTGTCTCAAAAACAAAAAAAAAAGACAAAAAGAAAACCTGTCTTTCACAAACAAAAGAGAAATAGACTTTCCTAGATAAAGTGTAGGGTGTTCACAACCACTAAACTTGTTTATAAGAAATGATAAAGGGAGTCCTTTAAAGTTGAAATGAAAGGGCACGACATAGCAACACAAAAGGATATGAAAGCACAAAGCTTGCAGATAAAGGTAAATGTACAGACAAATACAATGTACTCTAATGATGTGCATGAATCACTTTTAACTCTGGTATAGAATTTATACCTGCAGGTATTAAAAATAAATATAATTATAAAAACATGGTAATGGATACACAACATAAAAAGTGTAATTTGTTGTATCAATTACATAAAATTTGGGAGTGGAGAAGTAAGAGTAGAATTTGTATATGTGATTGAAATTAGCATAGATTATACATATAAAATGTTTTATATAAGTCTCATAGTAACAAAGAAAATGCCTATAGAGGATATAACAACAAAAAAGAGAAAAGAATCAAAGTATCTCACTATAAGAAACAAAACACAAAAGAAGTTATCAATATAGAAAAAGGCAAAAAAAAGCTACAACTGGGTATTTCGTGAGTGTTGCCTTTAATGGGACTAATGCCTTAAGAGTGTTTTGTTTGTTTGTTTGTTTGTTTGGAAATTTAGGCAGTGGTGAAGCTGGAGCATTTGTATTCTCTTCCCTATCTGTACCAAATTCTCTGTCTACTTTTGACTAGATTTTCAAAAATATCCTTCTGTGTTTCCATGTAGCTACTGTTCTGAAATGCCACCAGGTTTCTCAAAACCAACTAAAATGGTAGGAATGTGATGGACACAGAATGGTATGTCCTAAATCCTCTTAGTCTCTTCCTCTTTTTTCTCCCATGGATTTGAAGACTTAACACTAATTTCTCTTTATTTTTGTGAAAAATGCACAACATGAAAGGTACCCTATTAACAAAATTTTAAATGTACAGTACCTTATTAACTATAAGCACAATGTTGCACAGCAGATTTCTAGAACTTTTTTACCTTGCATAACTAAAATTTTATACCCACAGAAGAGCAAATTTCCAGTTCACTGTTGTTCCAGCCCCTGGTAACCACCATTCTACTTTCTGTTCCTGTGAGTTTGACCATCATGGATACCTTATATAAGTGGAATCACACAGCATTTATTCTTTTGTGACTGGATTATTTTCACTTAGCGTAATGTCCTAAGGCCAATTCATGTTGTAGCAAATGACAAGATTTCCTTCTTTTCTGTGGTCAAGTAATATTCCATTAGTTTAGGTGATGCTTTTATTTGCCTTTTTGACTCTTTACAGCAAACTTCTTAGGACTTGATCTGTCTCAGTCACTTCTGCATCCCCAGAATACAAAGCAATGCCAGGCATATAATATGCACAGTAAATATTTTTTGAATAGTTTTAAATAACTATTCAGCCCTGCAACCAAATTGACTTAATTTTTTTTACTGGACAAAAAAAATCATTTAAGTTTCGGTTCTCTAAGAAAAAGCCAGAAATTGCATTTTTAAGGAAGATATTTTATTATGCTTAATTGCCTTTTCTTCCCTTTGCTTTCATGTAAACAAAAACACTGAGTACCTTTTTTGTTTCTCTTTAAAACTCCTAAAATTCTGTATGCCCCAAGAATCTTTCTCTCTAAGGTAGATGTTGAAAGGCTTAAACATACTGACTGAAAAATGAGACTTTTTTCCTTACATCTTGATTAATGCTTAGTATTTACTGTATTTTATTTCTAATCATTATATGAAAGTAGCCATTCTGTACAGGGAAGGGGAAAAAAATGTCAGGCAATAATTGATTCAAGATTGATTGATCGATAGGTAGTTAGACAATTAGGCAGTTATGTAATCTTTTTTGGAACAAACTATTGTTATCCCTTATTTTTCAACCAGCAAGCAACTTAGCTGTTACAGTAAGTAATAATACAAATGTAGACATTTGTTACTGTTTAGTCTTGTCTTCAGTTTGACAAGTCTGTAGGTATTTAGGTGGGAAGGAGAACACAGCTGTTCAGACTAGTTTGGATTTTACCCAGCGAAGCACATTTAAAACAATTTTAAGATTTGGTGATGTCTTATGGATGCTTCTCTGATTTTTGTAGCCCTGTCGCATGAGAGAAAAGGTAGTTTTTTCCCTTAGTGGCAGCTGTGTGATGTGTTATTAGGGAGCTGATTTGGTTTCCTAGTTGTAGAGAAACACAAAACCATGTGGACTTCTCCATGGAATATTCATAAAGGTTGAAATAACTGGCATTGAGGTATGTGGAGCTTCTACAAAGATTGTAAATGTATATATTATTATAAAAAATAATTTTAAGACCAAGTGTGGTGGCTCACACCTGTCATCCCAATACTTGAAGGTGGGAGGATGGCTTGGGCCCAGGAGTTCGAGAGCAGCATTGGCAATACAGCGAGATCCCATCTCTACAAATCATCAAAAAAATAAAAATTAACTGGGTATAGTGGCATGCATCTATTGTCCTTGCTAAGATGCATGAGGCTGAGGCAGAAGGATCACTGAACCTAGGAGTTCAAGATTACAGTAAGCTATGATTGCGCCACTATACTCTGTCCTGTGTGACAGAGCTGGATACTATCTCAAAAATTAATTCATTAATTAATTTATAATTAGAGCTTTGTGTGCAAAGTATTGTTCATATTTAACAATAACACAAGTAATCTCTCTGAAACGGACAAACTTTTATTTAAATAAATACATGTCAAGAACTATATTAGGTGCTTTGCGTATAGTTATTTAATTTCTAAAATAAATGTATAGGCTGGTTGCAATGACTAATGCCTGTAACCCTGGCACTTTGGGAGGCTGAAATGGAAGAGTCACTTGATTTTAGGAGTTTGGGATCAGATCAGCCTAGGTAACAAAGTGCAAGACCCTGTCTATATAAAAACGTTTAAAAATTAGCTGGGTTATGGTGGTGCATGCCTGTGATCCTAGCTACTCTGAAGGCTGAGGCAGGAGGATAACTTAAACCCAGGAGGTCAAGGCTAAGGTGAACTCTGATCACACAACTGCACTCCAGCCTAGGCGACAGAGCCAGACCTTGTCTCAAAATAAAAGCATAGACTAAATACAGTCAGCTCTTCATGATGAGGAAATCAATACATACAGATTGTCACTTTACCAAGGCCATATCGCTGGTCATGGCTGACTCAGATGTTTATGCTTTTTCCCCTAAATCACTCAGCAGATGGCATTACTAAAATGATTGGAAGCCATGAAGTGACTTCATCAGTAACAACAAGAAAACATTCCAATGATAAATTAAAAAGATGAATACAACATTGTATAACTTTGTACTTTAGTTAAACGATCAGAGTAACATATAAAGATTTAGTGTTTGTACTAGGCCGATGGAATCTGTGTGTTTATTTTGTAAACTGTCTTTCATTGTGTAAGATGTCTATAATTGTGGATAAGTTACTTCCCAGTTAAGTACTATTTAAAGAAGAGTGCATGCAGCATCAATTTAGTTCATCAATCAGTGTATCTAAAAAATCTTAATGTTTTTGGTGTGCCTTCTGAAAGACTATGCGGTCATTTGAGCTTGTATTCTTTTTTTCTTCTTCTAATTTTAGATCATCAAACTATTGGATGGAAAACGATCTCAAACTGTGGGAATATTAATATCTAGTTTACATTTAGAAATGAAGGATATCCAGCAGGGTAAGTCTTTTCTATCACTTTTATGTTTTCCATTTTTTAAAAAAAACACTTGATTGTGAAGAATGGCAAACACATACAAAATTAAAATGCCATAATGAATCTCGTATACCCAATACGCAGCTACAGAACCATCAACTCAGTCTTGTTTCATCTGAAAACACCCTCCTCTCACCAAGTAGGTTATTATGAAGCAAATTTCAGATGCTTTATAAGTCATCTGTTAAAAATGTTAGTACTGTTGCTAAAAAATTAGGATACTACATTTATTTACTTGTATTTTACAGATGGGGTTTTGCCATGTTGCCCAGGCTGGTCTTGAACTCCTGGACTCAAGCAGTGTGCCCACCTCAACCTCCCAAAGTGCTGAGATTACAGGCATAAGCCACCATGCCCAGCCCAAGGATACTTTTTTAAACAATACTCCAGTGACATTATTTTTCCTTTAAAACCATTAATTGTAGTTTCTCGGTATCATCACATAGGTAATTCTAATTTCCCTTTTGTTTGTATACTCATTAATTCATGCATTCATTTACAGTTAGTTTAAATGAGGATCCAAACAAATTCTATGCATTGACTTTGATGTGCCTCTCAAGTTTCTTTTAATCTAGAAGTTTCTACTCTCCATTTTTCCTCTTTTGTAATGTATTTGTTGAAGAAACCAGGTTACTTGTCTTATAGACTTTCCCACATTTTAGATTTTGTTGATCCTGTTGCCATGTTTTTATCATGTTCCTCTGTCTCCTATTTTCTATAAACTATTTTAATTTGAGTGGAAGAATACATCATAGATACTATTGTTTCCTATCAAGAAGTAGATAATATTTTGTTATCTGTGATGCTAGTGAACACTGATGATCTTTGCCTAGATTCATTATTCATTAGAAGTTTTCAAAATAATGATGTACTAATTCCATCATTTCTTCTTTATTAGCTGGAATACTTCTAGGGAGAAACACTTTCCTTTATTTAGTTTTGTCATTGTGTCTTAATCCTTTTGTTTTCAAAATGTTATTTCTATTTGGTTATCTTTGGCGCAATTTTAGATAAATGACATTTAAAGAGAAGAGATGTTGTATGTATGTATTTTTATTAGTATCTAGAAAAGTAGACCAGAAGACATCATACCTTTTTGAAATCTATGTCTTATATGAAAAAAATATTGCCCTTTCTCAGTAACTAATTAAATGTAAATCTTTATATTGACATTTCACTTACATTGTCTGAGTGCTAATGGGATCTCTTAGCTGTTTTCAATAGAATTTATTATGGGTTTCACAGTGAAAACATTTGAAACCACACTGCCCTTTAGGTTTCAGTTCATGTTGTTGAGTTGTTTGACTTTGCTACTCAGCAGAATACCCTTGGGTCCTGACCTACAAGACACTTAAGTTACTTTCACATCACCTGCTACTCCTCCATTCAAGGAAGATTTGTTAGAGACTTAAAATGTTGCTACATTGTGAAAATTAAAAATTCCACAAAAACTAAAATATCTTAAATTAAATGATAGTCACACAGCATTCAAATAAGCTGTTTAATAGTTAAGCTGAGTAACAGAGCTGAATACGTAAGTGTGAATATTAAAGCTCAGATAAATTGACTTTGCCAAAGGGTGGCTAAAAAGACCTGTCATTGAGATTTGAATGGGATTTTTCAGGGACTTTAGAAGAATCTAAAGTTAAATCTTCCAGAAGAATTGAGTTTCTGATAAATTTACGCCAGAAAATATGATGTGAGAGCAGAGGAAAAGAAAGGAAAAACAAAAATAAATCTCTTCTGTAGACTTTATAGTCTTTTGGTAAAGGATTGATTTTTTAGAGGCAGTCACTGAATTTAGGGATTCCTCAGGTATGATGAAAGGGTCTTGTCTTAACAGTGCTCTCCATGAGCCTGGTGAAGCTCAAGTGTGCTTGATTTCATCACCATGATGTGTAATGCCACGGATGTGAGTTTTCGCGATGTCCACATAACCTAGGACTATATTCTATTTGTTTTAAGCATATCCTGCTGCAGTGTCAGATTTCCACATGTATAGAAGTCATTCCAGCCAAGTGATAGTCCAGTTACCAGCTCAGGACTGTAAACTTTCCCATGACATTCTAGCCTTATTAGATTGAATGTTTATTGTGAGTTCAATAAGATATTCATAGACCCAGACCTTTCCCAATGTTAAACTCTAGGCAAGAACATGCTTGCATGAAGCATAAATGGACTTTCATTCCAGCATCGGAAATGTTCATTGTAGCATCACAGACTTCTAGACCTTGTGGGAACTTTATTGTTCTTTTTCTTTCCTCAAGCACCTCCGTGATCCACCACAAAGTTAGCTCCTAAGTTCTAAAAAATTCTCTCCATTCCATTTCTTGGTTTAGTAATGCCTTCCAGATGAATATGGCACCATAACCGGAGGTTAGTTTTCCTTTGGAGCCATTGACTGACACTGGCATCTGAAGGTCATTAGGAGCCCAGGCTGTATCAGTTATATTTCATTCTGAATTCGTGTGTGGAATGTACTTGGCCTTGTGTTGTCAGCCTGGTGAAAGGACTTCCTGTGCTGATATTGGCCTAAAAGCCCCTTTAAGAGGGGTTATGGTTGGATGTGATTGGGGGAGGCCAGCTGGCAGCCAGGCAAGGTCTCACAGCAGATCAGCCCTGGTAGAATGACCACAATTCAGAGACTGTTCTCCAGCCCTATCATTGTATATTCATCTTTAGCTATGTACAAAGATCAGAGGCATTAACTCATACTTCCAAACTCACAAGAAGCAGATGTATAAACCAGAAAGCCAGCATGTTTACTTAGACAAGAGTATTCCTTTCTTATGACAAAAAAATTATCACATTTGTTGATGGTTTTCTCCACATCATTTATCTCTACCTGTCATTTTCCCCTTAAAATGTCATTTCCATCATTCTGTTTCAGCATATGCATAACAAGCACACAGTAAATATTTTTTGAATGGTGAACAAAGAGATAGATGAAGGTATGAATGCAAAGAAACAGGCATAAACAGATTTAGAGACAATACAGTATATGGTTCTTGGAAGACTGTACTATTTAGTTGATAGGAATAGAAATACAGGCACTCTGGAGCGCTTCGGGCATTCCAGTTTTATAAAGGACAGTGACATTTCAGTCTTTCTGAGATTACAGCTTTGTCACCTTGATAACAGTTTTGTGTATTTCAGTCTGAAGTTATCTCCCACAAATAGATAATCTAGCTTTTACTTGTTCAGTTCTTTAAGAGCAATCTGCTTTTCTTCTTTTTTAAGATGAGCGCTTGTCTGTGGTCTTCCTAGCACAGCCTATACTCTCCATTCAAGAAGTGGAGTTTGGGTGCTCTATACCTTAATGTCTGACAGGTAACAAGGAGCAGAGCCAGTGTTCATTCCTTTATGCATTTCTTTGCCAGGAATGTCTGAGATGATTAAGCATTGTTTGCAACTAACTGGGCTAATGTGTGACACATAAAAGTTATATCTTCAAGTGTTTGTTGAATTTAATTCAATTTTTTTAAAAAAATACAGACTTAAACTAGATAGGATCCGAATACCATGTATTCTATTCCAGTGCATTTGGACAAAACCGCCTGCTTGCCTGCCTTCTTTTCTTCCATAAACCTGTATTGAGTGTCAGCTCCGTATCAGGTGTCATGACTACAACAGCACATAAGGTCAGACTCTAACATCCTCAAGCATGCCCAAGTTGGTGGGAGTGGTGTAAAGCAGCCCAACATTACAGTAGAATTGGCTGTGAAATAACAGAGCAATAGCTTGACTCTTCCTATAGAAGTTAAGGTTAAGCCTGAGAGGATGGAATAATGGTCATCACATGGAGATGGAGCTTTCCCAATTCAGGAAAGAGCATGAAATAAAACATGTGAAAAAGACACATGTAATCCCTGACTTTGGAAGGCTGAAGCAGGTGGATTGCTTGAACCCAGGAGTTCAAGACCAGCCTGACTAAAGTGGCCAAACCCCATCTCTACAAAAAATACAAAAATTAGCTGGGTGTGGTGGCACGAGCCTGTAATCTCAGCTACTTGGGATGGTGAGGTGGGAGAATTGCTTGAGCATGGAAGGTAGAGGTCGCTGAGATGATGCCACTGCACTCCAGCCTAAGTGACAGAACAGAACTCCATCTCAAAAAGAGAGAGAGAGAGAGAGAGAGAGAGAGAGAGAGAGAGAGCTGGAGCTGGTGTCCATAGACTGTATATAAGATTGTGGGTTGTTTTAGGATAGAAGGCTAGAAACACAAGCATCATCCAGACCAGGAAGATCCCTGAATAGGATCACAAGAAATGTTTACATTGTTGCATCAGTAGAGGGGACAAGAAACCTAAGAAGGGCCATGTTGTGATCTGATTTTGAATGCAGCAATATCTATCACACTGTTTCATGGAAGACTGGGCTCTGCTGCTTTGTGTGCTTGGCCAAAACATAGATCTCTTACTTCACTTTGTTCCACTTGCATCTCATCTCACTGCATTCTAGCCAGCCATGGTGGTCATCTTTGATTTCTTAAAAAGGCCAAGTGCTTTCCTTAGTCTTTGTTGTTGCATGCACAACACACTTTGAATGAAGAGCACTGCAGGCTCCCTCTGTTTGAAACACTTTTCTCCCCCACTCTCTATGTAACTAGATCTTTTTCTTTAGGTTTCAGCTTAAATGTCACCTTCTTGGAGAACTTTCCTAGGTCCTCCCTAATACAGGTCATTCTATTTTAATACTCTCATTTCCTTCACAGCAGCTAATATTTTATTTGTTCATCTTCTTATGTTTTCATTTATATCCACCACAAGAATATAAGCTGCAAGAAGGAAATTGTTCACTAATGTGACCCTAGCACCTTGCACCTGTGTCTGGCACCCAGGCAATGATCATCAAGTGCCTGTTGACTGAATCAACAAAAATAGGACTGAAGGTGGAGAAATCCTTTAGAGTGGATGGTACTTGTTCAGATGATAAATGACGAAGGTCAGAACTGAAGCTGTGTC